AGGGCTAGGCCTGTGTTCACACAACGAGGCTATACAAAGGTTCAAGTTTTCCATCGGTTTATTTCACTCCATTTCAAATCTAACAGGTCAAAAGTCTGACGTTTATTAAAGAAATATTTACCAAAAAGTTATTTTATGATAAAAAGTAAAAACTGTTGAAATTTACTCAAGCAGAGGCTTATTATTGCGTGCAAAAATTGTCACCTAGCGGTTTGTTTTGATATTATATCCACTATAACAACTTTGGTTTGGTGACAAATTCGGTCTACTAGCAAAGAATATGGAGGAATTGTAGACAGTACTTTAGTGCAGAGAAGCCGTAAGACTTTTACTCATAACTTTGGCAGTAGTAAGTCAATTGCAGTAAATTAGCTATCATGTTAAAGCTTATAATGCGCAAAATATAAATATATTAAAAGTATATTATTTTGTTTCGGTCACTGATGCAAGTTTTAGCATGGTAAGCAGATAATGATGTGTATTTGTTTCAATGGATTGCATACAGTTGTCATTATTCAAGTAATTTCATCTGGTGGTCTTTAATTTTCAAACATTTCTGATTAGTAAATTATGTGGGTTTTTCCTCCCATCTTTTGGATTGGGAAAAAAAATGTCATTATCACAAAAATTGTTTATACAGTTTGCCAAATTACATCTAAAAAGTGTATAAAAATATAAATTTTGCAGTAACTTCTGTTTGTGTTTGCCAAGTTCTTGGAGTAATTCATACACATCATGCAACATGTTTATCAGAGAGGAATATTCATGATTATGCAGGTGATACAGGATACACCCATGCATACAGTACATGCATACACACTCATTAATACATGTAAATATATACTATACATATTATCATATTTTCTCTATGATATTATATACATACAAGTATACAAGTATATATAAATTATACATACGTACATGCATTTACATATGAAAAGCAAAGAAACAATAAAGCAGTACTAAAAAAGCTAGAATGTGTGAGCCATTGTGGCTGATGATGTTGTAAATGGTGATGATGTTAAGCAAATTCGTAAATTGAACTGCGCATGCTCATGTCCAAGGTGAATCAACATAAACATATGTTGTGTGTATGTTGATTTCGATTGATCGTGATACGAACATGTGTACTTCAAACAATGAATTGGCTAATTCAGGTTATTGAGTGGCCAGAGCCTCGTTTGCCTTTATCTCCATGATAAAGTTTCCCAGGGTGCACTACGAGGAAGTGAGGTTGGCAAAGTCATTAGGTTAGCATGACGTCAAACCATAGCATGACTTTTTTACACCCCAAATTAGGTTGGTTTTTTTTACTTTACGGTACTTAAATTAAAATCACCTAACACTATAAATTATAAATTATAAAAAAATTTATTTTATTTTACTAAGTCAAAAAATTATATAGTATGCAACAACAACTAGGCCTATCATTTATTTATTTTGTGAGATGAGCAATACAGAAGTGACTTACAATATTTTACATTATATTATTGTTGCTGTCACTATGATTTTATTATCTAATAGTATAGTTTATATCAAACACGCATGGCCTAATGATATTTTACATTATTGCTATATATACAGGTACATATAAATTAAAACACAGTCTAACATTGATTTTATCAAAAAGTTATGTTTATTTTTAACACTATAGTGATTAGTCACGATTTTATTTTGAAGCAAACTGACTACATTATTATTTCTACAAAGTAATAATTTTGGACTTAATATTTAAAAATATTCCTGATAATCATAATACTATGGTTAAATGTTTTGATAATATACAAGCTTTTTTATTATATATTATAAGAAGGTACGTTATTCTGTGAGACCAACAGTATGTTGAACATACGTTACCTAATATTATTTTACATCATAGTATTGCTAATATTATATAAAAGTTATTTTCTTTTTTGAATGTAGCCTTGCCATATTTTTTTAACTGTTCCATTAATTTACGCCAAAACCTTGTTTACATTAGAGTGTCTGCGTTATGAAGGTTCTGTTTATTATAATTATAGATCTAAATTGTTCTAGATTCAGCCTATTATTCAGTTTGATTTTTGCTGATTATAAAATTCAAACGTAATGTATATCATGGTTTTGGCTGACCCAGCTAAAAGAAATTCCTTCATTCAATAAATAGGTACATTAAAGTATAGGCCTACAGCGGTTTTAATGCAATAGGGCCTATATGCTGATGATGATATGATGATGATAGATATACTTAATAATGATGTTTTGTGTATCATCAGTGCTCTATATTGAATGGACGGCGCTGATAGTAATATTGTAATGATTGGTAGAAAGAGCACATGACTTGATGTGACTTAACTACCTTGAAATAGTTTAAGCATTAATAATAATAACAGCATACTGTAATTGTAGGCCTTACATAGTCTAACAATTTTACATTTACTATATCATTTCTTAATTTCCCTCTAAATAGAGATGTTTATAAAGATATACTTTTAAAGCCGGTCTTTAATTATAGGGATTCAAAGTTGAGACCAAACCTGCAAAACAATGAAAAACCCGGTCCCAAAATGGAATTTCTAATTGGTGGTATGGAGGGAGACCTGTAATAGGATTGAGAAAAAATGGTCCCGACGGCCCTGTAAGGGTACCGTATATTCTTAGGTCCCGACGGCCCTGTAAGGGTACCGTATATTCTTAGGTCCCGACGGCCCTGTAAGGGTACCGTATATTCTTAGGTCCTGAATGTGTTCCCTTAATTGGGCTTCTATTGTAGTTGGGGTTCTCGACAGCTGTCTCTTATACACATCTAGCTTTTCTCTGCTCCTTATGGGATATACCTAGTCATGTCACAATTTAATTAACTGTATTGCTACTATATTTATTATTACTATTAGAATTTATAGTCTATAATCCCACCTGATCTTCAAACACAGTCTTTGCAGCATCTTCCGTTGACATACCAGCATTTAATTTTTGTAAACTGCAAAAAATAATATCAAAGAGATAATAATATTATAATATAATAATGTTAAGGATGAATGATATTGCTGTTAATGATGGTGATGACAATGAAAATGAAAAATATGACAATGGTGATGATAGAGAATGACGATGATGGCAATTGATAGAGAATATTGATGATGATGACAATGATAGAAATTGATTGAGCATTGAGAGAGCAGTTTAGCTCAGTCGGCTAATCTGGTGGTAGCCACTGTGTGTATGTACCTGAACTGTGGAGATCTCTAGGTTCCTGGTTTAATTCCCATTGCTCTCCTTGTGTTTCAGCCGGAGGGCTGAAATACAAGTTACAATAGCGCACCGTCTTTCGGATGAGACGTTTAAGCCGTTGGTCCCGTATGCATTTATGGCCCATGTGCACGTTAAAGAACGCAGTACACTCTTCGGAAAAGAGTAGGGGATTGTCTCTCGATGTCAATCACCACCAGAATCCCCACTTAAAGTAAGTCTTCTTCTAGACTTTCATGGGCTATCCTGGTCTTTACACCCAATAAATCCAAAGAGAATGATAATGATGATGGGGGAAATTGATAGAGAATGCTGATGAGGACAATGATAAAGACAATATACACTACAGTTCATTACATTAATGCAGAAGTATTATTCTACCTTTCTAAATTTAACCTCTGACACAACATCTCCACGGCTTCCATTCTCTTCACTAAATCCCCATCTTCATTAAGAAAATAGTTGAATTTCTGAAACAACAATGCACAGAGGATTAAGCTGTTAATCCACAGAAGGACAAACAAATGTAAATAATAATGATAATAACAAACAACTTGTGAAGTCTTATTTACTCAATCTATATTGAGTAATATTTCATAAACTTGGAAACCCACCTTGCATGTGTCTCGGAGTGTTTTTCTTTCGTGTCTCATCGCTTTCTTTAATGCCTCTCTCTCCTTCTTAGCTTCCTCAGCCTACAATGAACATTAACATAATTAAAACTGAGCAATCAGTATATTATAAAAAAAAACACATTTGTGTGCATATTAATTATAGTGTAAACTTACAATTGACATAGCAACTGCACCACCATTTTAAATTATTATTATTATTATTATTGTATACTTATATAGCGCATATCAAACTTCTCTATGCGCTGAACATTATTACCCCGGATCACTGGATCAAGCACATATGGAACACACACTCAGGCCCCATAGG